GATGACACTTGCTGACATTTTCCTAGTCATCTCCTGGTTGGATGAAGGTGGTCCTCTTGTGGATTCCTCAACAAAGGCTTATGGGTGATTAATTCTCTTAGTTCTTAAAAGTTTAAAACTCTTTTCTACAGCCTTGGTGTTTGGAGGGCAGTTCTACGGCACATAAAATCCTTGCTTTACATGGTCTTTAATTCATTTTTTTTTTGCAATCATTCAGTGTGGTTCTGCAGATCTATTTCTAATTCATCTTGGTGGAATTATTGTGTTTTACAAAATTCCTGAGTTCAATGCACCGTCTTCTGTCCATATATCAAGGTCCAAATATTTTGTATGTGTTTGGTGGTGGGGCAGGAATTGTGTTCCAAATGTTTGGTTTTCTTTTGTCTTGTAGGGTCCTGGAACTCCCTGTGCCCCACACATACCTTGTTTCTTTTTTCCTTTACCCCTGCTGTGCACTGCTATGTCCCCCTAAAATTCATATGTTGAAGTCCTGACTCCCAATGTGACTGTAATTGAAGAAAGGGCTTTAGGAGGTAATATAGGGCAAATAAAGCCATAAGGCCACGTGAGGACACAGGGCAGAGGCAGCCGTCAGCCATTAGCAATGCAGGAAGAATGCTCACCCCGGGAACTAAGGTGGCCAGCATCCATTTCTATTGTTTAAACTCCCCATTCTATGGGATTTTGCCTGAGTTGGCTAATATACCCCCAGCAGCCAAAGGGCATATTTCTTCCTTTTGCCTTTTGTCTTCCCTGAAAATGTATGTCCTGAAAATCCCTACTACCTTTAAGTCCTTTTCCTGTAGTTTGTGCCTAGTTAAACAACTTTTTAGTATCTTTAGACTTACAACACACTTAGTTTTTCTAATGATGGTTTTAGATCAACTGGCTCCATGGCTATTCTCTTCTAGGCAGTCTTTTTCCAGCCTACCCTTTCTTGCCTTGTAACATGAGGGAACACATGAAGATGGCGTTTTTTTCTCTTTTTACCTAACAGTTAACTTGATGTTTAGGCATTCTCTGTCCTCAAATTATACTGATGGTATGTTTTTGTTATAGTTTCATTTCCCCCTTACCATTGTTCTAGATCATTTTGGAGGAACTATTGGAGGTGGGGACCTCTGGTATGACCATCGTCTTCCCAGCCAGCCAGCCAGGGAGCTACCCACATGGCACAGCAGACCTCTCCTGTCTTGCCCGCTGCTCCCCTCAGCAGTGTATTTCAGTCAATCTGCCTGTTCTGCTTCCCACTCTGTCTCTGGTGAATTCTCTCACCCTCCCATGCCTCTGGCGTATACCCGAGCTCTTGTATAAAAATAAATAAATCTAAAAAAAAAAAGAAGAGTGGAGACACGTGCTTTGGTTTGCAGGGAGCAGGCGGCCTGTTCCTCTCGCAAAGGCTCCTTGTTTTGATATCTACTTGTTTAGTACATATACACCCGACTAGGGAACCCTTTTCTCTCTTTACCTCCCTCCCAACCCCCTAATAATCAGTATCCTGCTACTTAAAAGTTCATTTGCAGCCAAGAATCTAGTCATGTGGACGGAAGTTGATCCCGGCAATTTCTTTTTCATGTGACCCTAGGGAACAGCACTTTTACTAGAAACTTTTGACATTTGGTTCCCAGCCAAGTTCAAACGTCTCTTCAGGTCCTTTACCAGTTTACAGTGGGATTTCCTCCGGGGAATTAAGAAAAGCAAAACCGCTGTGTGACAAATGTCAATTTGGAGAAGTTTGTCCCGATCTCTTCTCTTTAGCTCAAGTCCACAGTTGTGTCATGTCTCAAAGAATCAAAATTTCCTGAAGGGATATACAGTGTCTGGTTATAGAATTTAATTATCTTTTAGGGCCCTGTCCCCTGAAGTCACCTGGTGTCACTGTGGATGAGGGAGAACTCCCAAGATGGGCTTTAATTAGGAGACAGCCCTTGAGTTTGCAGCTGATGGGGTTTTAAGCTAAACAGAAGGGCCAATTTCCTGTGAGAACTCCTGAGATACAGCAAATTTTAAGGAACTAAGCACTCCCTCTTTCCTCTTGTAGGAGCTGTGTGGCTACTTTGGAACTGTCACCAGATGTCCTTAAAATTTGCTAAGTCCCTATCATTGGACATTGAGGTATTTGTAATTATTTTTCCTATTGTAAACATTGCTTTGATGAACATTCTAGTGAGTAAATTTTTGCATACACTCACATTATGGCCTTGGGATGAATGCCTACATTTAGAACTGCTGAACCAAAGGGTATGGATCTTAGAGTCTTGATAAATATTGGCATATTGTGAAAGGATGGAACGACTTATCCTTCCTCCAGCCTCATAGATGAGCGCACGTGCTAGACTTGTCATTTGATGGTAACCACTTTATTTATCTATTTATTTATTTATTACATCTGGATTCAGTTATTCATGTACATTAGGTCCCATGCTGGGCCCACCTTTGAATCAAATTTACATAACATTGTCTTGCGTCTTCTTAACGACCTTGTGACATTGAAGGGATTATCCCCATTTTACAGATACTGAAACGGGAACTCAGAAAGATACATTAACTTTCCCCAAATCATACAACTGAGAAATTAAAAGCTAGTATTTGAACCTACTTGGACCCATGATCTCATCACTATGTCACTCTGTGACTGACACCTCAGAGACTTGATTGGGTTATGATGCTGATGACGTGTGACACATATGGAGTGCTTATTATGCATCAGGCACAGTCAATCCTCGTTCCAAACTTACAAGGTGCTGTCTACTCTTCTCCACTGAAATGATGAACTTGCCCAGGGTCACACAGCTAGTAAGTGGTAGAGCTGGCAGTCAAATCCCAGGTCATGTGGCTCCACAGCCCATGCCATTAGTGACCAAAATACGGTATAATAGTTTGCACAGTCATAGAAGATTGTTTATCAGAATCTCATTCTAAATGCTTTTTCAAAGGACGAAAATAATGGCTTAGCTCAAGTCTACTAAATGAAAGAAGGAGAGTTGGTGTGTAAGAAAGTGTCTATCCAGCAACTTCCTGCAGATTTCCTGTCCCTATATCCGCAGCCTTTTCGCTGACAGCTATACACAGCTCTCCTAAGCTTAATTAAGAGAGCTTGGGTCTGAGGAATGTAACTAGAAGGGGAAATTTTCTAAAGAGCTTGCCCACCCAAAATCAGTTGAACAATGAAACAGTTAAATTTTCCTCCAAATGACTTAGACATACTGAGTATTACCACTCCCGAAGGACAGATTTTCCAACATGTCCCTAAGTATGATCTTTCTTGTTGATGTTTGTTGGGTAAATAAAGGACCTTCATTGCTGTTCATTATTTTAAGCCTTTTGCTATAGTCTTACTTTGGTATTTAGACATTATTAACAATTATGCAGATTATGACACAGGGTAATATTTTTATGTCATCTCTGTAAATGCTTAACATTCTTCTCTCCCACCTCCCCACCCCAACCCCCAAGAAAATCAACTTAATGAGCCACAAAACATGTTATAATGAAGGGGAAAATATTTTTAGCATTTTTATGCAGAAAATGCCTCATTAAAAGCAAATGCTTCAGCAAGCAGATTTGAGCTTAATAAGAACTTTTGTAGAGTGGGGGGTGGGGGGGGGCTCTTGTAACAAATCACCAGCATGTGTAACTACTCTCTAGAAAGACCTAGAAAGCCCTAAGAGGCTCTTACCTGCCTTCCTTATCCCTGGGCTGCATGGCCGCAATGGAGCGAGTGCGGCCTGGCACTCCTAGACACTTGTGAGGCTTCCTGTTCAGCCACAAACAGGAAAATGTCTACATCTTGTGCACCACCCTTTACTTTTTGAGCTGCCAATGTTCTATCATGCAGAATCATTTGTGATTTTTGAAAATTTTTCCTCAATTGTATTAATTTTTCAGTGGTCGCCATAGCGCTATTACTTTGGGGGGTATATCTTCACACCTTCATATGTGCACATGCTTCGCGCACTCTCCACCAAAGCTCCTGTCATGCAGATTCACTGAAAAGAAGCCTGTTGTCAGCTCCATGTTTGGCATCATGCGACCCAAATATTTTGTACCTATTTTACATATTGCAAAAGCCGTAAGGGTGCAGGGCAGGGCTTACAGCTAGCTACACACACAAATTTAGTTTCAGATAAAAGCCTCAATTTATGTCCACACCGTTGTAACTTCTTTAGACTTTCGGCCTCAAACCAGAATGACAAGAGAGCAGGGGTGCACCATCTAGACCAGGCGGGCTGGTCTGGACACAGGGTACACAGCCCCTCACTTCAAGGATGCCCTGCTCAGAGGCACTTGTCCCCACGGAGACTCCAGAAGATACACCTGGGGGAAGGGGTTGTTTGCAGGTGTCCTGAGCTCAGCTCAACTTTGTCATCTGTGATCTATATTTGGGGACGTGGGTCCCAGCCACCCAGGCGGGGCTGAAGTCACCAGTGGTGATAACAACGCGGTGGTAACTAGTTCCTCTGAATAACTAGTTCCCTTGATGAAAGGGAGCATGAAATGCTGGGGTGATTTGTCTTCAAATGGTAGCTTTTTCAACTTATTCAAGTTCTTTCCCAGCATGCCCCACGGAGGCAAGGATGCGACGGCGGTCACCTGGCTAGTGATGTAGCAGCGGGTGCAGCACGTCTGTGCCAGGCCCAGCGCCAAGCTCTTTCCATGCCTCATCTCATTTAACCTGCAGATGCTATAAGCTGGGTACTATTAATATTCCCATATTAGAGATGAAAAAACTGAGGACAGAAAAGGTCACCTGCCCTAAATCTTTCAGCTTGTTTGCAGAACTAGGATTTGAAGCACTTTCCCCTGATTTCGAGTCCTTGACTATTATTACTTTATTGCATTGTGCAATCAGTTAACTAAAAAGAAAGAAATAGGCCTGTTGTCCCACTCTATTCCAAAAAAGAGGCATTCCTTTCCGGATGCCGAAAGGGGGTAAATTCAGTTGTAAAATGCTCATGATCTGTTTCCAGCAACTTCCAAGTCCCGCTCGCCCAGCTCACCGTTAAGAAGTGGCGGTCCTTAACTTCGCGCCTCCGCTGGCTGTGAGCTGGGCCGTAGGCTGGCAGCGGAGGGGCTGCTACGGAGAGGGGAGCAGCAGCTCTCTGCTCCCGGCGGTCGCTCCGGCTCCGGTGCTCTGGGGGCAGAAAAACAATCATACTGAAACACACTTGGCACTTTCAGTTTCTCTCGCCTCCTTGGGAAGATGAGCAAAGGCTTGAGGGCAAAGTGAGTTTTTGCTAATCTAGCTCATTTATATACCAAATAAGGTTTTCAGGATGCTTCCAGATGACTTTCACGTCATATTAAAATGAAATTGGACACCTACATTTCAGCGGGCCCAGCTCATAGTCTTTGTACTGGATGGCTCACTCTGAGTTTGCAAAAGGCAGTTTTCCCCAATGTGCCTCCTTTCCAAACAACTGAACAAAAAAAAGAAAAAGAGGGCCTCCCTGGTGGCGCAAGCAGTTGAGCGCCTCACTGTGAAGCTGTCCGCAGCCTCTGCAGCGTGGGTTCGATTCCGGCCAGCCAGCGAGAATCCCACATGGCGCGGCAGACCTCTCCTGTCTCACCCGCTGCTCCCCTCAGCAGTGTATTTCGTCAGTCTGCCTGTTCTGTTCCCTACTCTGCTCCGGTGAATCCTCTCACCCTCCCGCGCATCTGGCCTGTACCCTAGCTCTTGTATAAATAAATATTTTTTAAAAAAAAAAGAAAAAGAAAAAGAAAATCTGGAACAGAGGTGAAAGGTGAGCTGACATCACTGCTGGACAGTGGGCACAGACCCGCCAGAGCTGGCCAGGCAGTTCTGGGGACAGGCACTCACTGCCACCCTCAGCTGCTGTGGCCACACTGGCCCAGGCACGAGGCTCGCTGTGTGTTCATGAATTCTGCGAGCCAGTTTTTAAGCCATTGGTCACCATGGTGGGAGTATTTACAGCACAGAAATTGGCAGGTGGAACATATCCGGGATGTTATTTATTCCATTTTATTGTATTTTTTTCTTTTTTCAGCGTCTGTAACCAGCACACCATTGCAGCCAGCTCAGCCCTGCCATTCACAACAATCGGGGGGCTTTGAAATCCGGGGCTCCCACAAAGTAAAAGGATCCCAGTGACAACAGTTACCTGATTTAGGAATAAAGTCACCTCTGGGAAAAGCTAAGTTAGCTTTCTGGGTGTCTCAATGAGCCCAAAGTTCACCCTACCCACCACGCCCGCCACATCTAAGGCACCCCTCTTGCCAAAATCCTGCCCACACTCATGCCCAGGGCCTGAAATCTGGTGACACACTCATAACCAAGGCACACATTTGTGCTGCAGATTTCTTAAGCTCTCTGCCCATCTGTTATTTAAAATCACTATGACTCAGTACATTGCCAATAACAATCATGATGCCAGATATTTAATGGAGCAATTACCACACGCCAAAGACACTTTGCTATCATCTCAGCAACGTTGCGAGGTTGGCCCCGTCCCTGTTCTCCTAGGCAGATGCCTAAATACACTCCAGGAGCCCATGTGGCTGCCAAGCTGGCAGAGGCACGTGCTGGGCTCCGGCCCACTTCTGCCCACTATTTGACCTACAGGCACTCTAAGGTCATGACACACCTTTTCACTCATTAGAGCCAGGTTATCTGGATTTGATAGTGCTTGGTTCAAATATTTTATCACATTGATAAATATAGAATATTGATAATATAGAATGCTTAGAACATTGATAATACAGAATGCTTGGCAGCTCCTATGCCACCAGTGACATTGTGACCATGACAGCAGACAGAAGTGAGTGCCCTGACCCTCTTGGGTGAGGCTGGCACCCTCTCCCCCAAGGCCCTGAATGCCCAGGGCGTTGAAAAGGTCATGATCTTTCTGTCTGTCTGCCTTTTTCACTAGGAGCTAGCCCCTGGAGGACAGACAGTATTTTATTCAGCTTTTAAACCCAGTACCATGGCGTACCTGTGACATAGTGGGTCTCAGTAAGTGTTTGTTGAAAGGCTGAAAGGTTGAGTGCTTTCCTTGAAGGCTAGTCCTCAGCATGAGAAGGCATTCCTGGTCCCTGTCTTGCTCCCAGGCTGCATTGTCTGTGCCCTCACTCTCCGGCCCTTCTCCAAGGCCCTGTTTGTTCCCCACTGTGCCCTGATGCTGGCCTGTTCACTTTCTCCAGATTCGAAGTGCTGCAGGCTGACACCCCTCTACTAGCCAGGTTTCCCACTTCCATCCACATCTGCGTGGCCTGTCTGGGCCTCCCTGCCTGAACCCCCAAGTTTGCCTGTGACAGAGCAATGTGGCAGGACTCGTTGTCGTCCTTTGTTTGGGATTCTTTGGGCAAATATTGACTCCCGTTCAGAAGCAGAGAAGAGCCCTCGTCACCATGTAGGTCGTCTTTGCTAAACAGCCTCGCAGCCCGCTTATCAGGTAGCCTTCTTGAGATAAATGTCTTCCTTGTTCAAGTGTCTACCACCAGAGCCACCTTCATTTTTCTTTGCAAGCACTGGGCTTTTCTAAATGGGCAACACAAGGAGAAATGTTTCGGGGCCGCGATTGCTAAGGAAGAGTAGAATGCAGGGGCTGGCGGTTAAAAAGGTGGAGGTGGGGAGGGATTTGGAGGGAAACATCAACTCAATTTCCCATTACTCCCCTCCTACACTTTCTTTCTTTTTTTTAAAGATTTATTTTTATTTATGCATACAAGAGCTGGGGCACAGGCCAGAGGTTTTGGGGGTGAGAGGATTCACCAGAGACAGAGTGGGGAACAGAACAGGCAGATTAACCACAATACTGCTGAGGGGAGCAGCGGGCAAGACAGGAGAGGTCTGCTGCGCCATCTGGGTTGCTCCCTGGCCGGGGATTGAACTTGTGCTGCAGAGGCTGTGAATTGCTTCATAGGTTGCGTCTTAACCCCTTGCGCCACCAGGGAGGCCCATACACTTTCTTAAATACATCTTTTTCATTCATCCTGGGCCAGGCGTAGGCAGGTAAAGCAATGGCCTGTAGTTCTATCTTTTTTTTAGGGGTAGGGTGGGAGTACATCTGTCCACTAGCGCCTGAAACCACAGGCCTCTTGCTCTTACTACACCTTGAGACCAACGGAATTTAGGCCCCAGCCTTGACACTTGAAAGGAAAGGAAATATAAAACAGAACTACCTCTCTCTAGTCACTTGGTGATTCCCCTCTCCCTTATGAACATAAATGTTGGTGTAACTTAAAGGTACTGTTAGCTCTGCGCATTAAAGAATTGCTAGGAAAAAAAGGAAGTAAAGAGGAACCGGATTCTAACTCACTGGAAATCCATGAAGGTGCTACCTCCTCTGGGGAGCCCTCCCTGAAGCTCCATGATGGCATGATTAGTGTCTTTCCTCTGAGCGCCCATCACTGTGTTGAAATGACCTGGTTACTTGCCTGTCTCTCAGTAGACCAGGAATCTCCTGTGACCAGCAACCTGATTTACTGCTCTCTGGATCCTAGGCTTAGCACCATGCCTGGCCCTCAATAAATTTTATTGGTCGCTGTTGCACAGACCAGTTTCCAGGTTCTGATCTCAGTTCCCCAGATCCCTCCTGAGGGCCTCAGCTGTAGAAGGAGCACAAGGTTGCTATCACCATAGCTTCCCTTGACTGTGCTTCATTTTCCACTCCCTCCTGGTGGGAGCCAGGGTATTCCAGCTGTCCAAACAGAGACCCCTCAGGGACACTCACTGCGGCATTTGCTGAGCAAGGCCGTCCTCTGACGGGTCAGTACGAGTCCCGGCCACCAGATGGCACAAGTGGTATTCCGATGAGTGCACGGCTGAGCTACTGTGTTTCTTGGACAAGGTTAAAAAAAAAAGCCACTTTCTAATTTTAATTCTACACTGCATGTTTTTAATTCTATGATGCCTATAATTCCTGTTTATGGTTCTCTGCAGTGCTATTAAAACTACTACACCCAAGATTTGCTATTGAGACAACCACAAAGCGAGCCAGTCTGTGGAGGGCAAGACGCAGCTCCTGGGTCTTCCTTCCAAACCCCAGGAGGCCCCATATCCCTCCCTCAGCCCCAGGAGGAAGTGCCGAAAAAATTGATATTGGCACTTGCTGTTTCTCAGTTCTGCCATTAAGTCCAAATCTGACAACGCAGTGAAATGTGATAGTGTACGAGCGGCTTAATGTTATCTGGTTGTATCTGGAAAGATCTAATCAGGGATGACTTATTAATAATAATAAAGGGATAGAAATAATTAGTGTAAAGGACTAACGTTACTCACGTTGTCTAATGATGGGATCAGAGAAAGTATTTAATGAGAAGGATCGATTCCTGGACAGTCATTCTGTGCCTCAATGCTCAACTGATTTTCTGCAGAATTTGATTCAGTTGCACAAATATTCAGTGAGGACCTACGATATGTCAGATTCACGCTAAAGACTGGGAAATTTTTTAAAAAATAATAGGATTAATGGTGGAAGGCATGTCCGTAAGAGGTTAGACAGGATGTACGGTTATGAGTGGCTGGAGGGGAGGGGACATAGGACATTACAGGACTCCTGCCTGATCTAGCTGCAAAGGAAAGGCAGGAATGTTAAGGGGGATTTCCGAAAGGCAGCTTGCACTAGAAATTTGTTAAAGAAGAACTTTTTAGCCAACCACAAAATTACAGTGAACAGTAAGAATGCCAGAAACTGGAGGATACCCATGGTCACCCTTCATTGTAAGTGGCACAGTACGGGCTGTATTGTAAATGGCAGAGTACGGGCTGCTGATGACCCAGGAGGGATTTCTAGAAGTCATCGCACTAGTGTGTCAGTAGGTTAACTCTTTCATTAAAAGGAACACTAGGGGCCCTCCCTGATGGCGCAGTGGGTTGAGCGCCGTGCTGTGAAGCTGTCTGCAGCCTCTGCAGCGTGGGCTCGATTCTTGGCCGGCCAGGGAGATACCCACATGGCATGGTAGACCTCTCCTGTCGCACCCACTGCTCCCCTCAGCAGTGTATTTCAGTCAGTCTGCCTGTTCTGTTCCCCACTCTGTCTCTGGAGAATCCTCTCACCCTCCCACGCCTCTGGCCTGTGCCCCAGTTCTTGTATAAATAAATAAACCTAAAAAAAAAAAAAAAGGAACACTAGGGACAGGGGAAAGGGAGAAGCCACACACACGTGGAAGAAAATCAATTGAAAACATTTGTCACTTTATTTCTCCATCTTGATAGTGACATTAAAATATTTATTTGGATTTTAATACCTTTGCAAAATGCCATTCCATAAAAGAGGGTGGGAATTTAGAACAGAGACACTTGCTGTCACCATCTGTTTCCCCAGCAAGCACCGAAAGGCCAAAAAAGCTGGCATGCCTACTTCTGCTTCCCTAATTTAGGGGGTTCTTAGTCTCCTTGTCCTAATTAGAATGGTTAGAAGGCACTGACAAGTAGCCAGAGTCAAAAAAGTTGACTCCTGTATGTCTATCCCTGGCTTTCTCAGGACTGTGACTGTGAGAGAACTAAAAAGTGAAATATTTTTTGACTTGCTTCCCCAGGACACAGGCTGTAGGAGGAGGAAGAGAGTGTGGGTGGGAGTCGGGGTCCCCACACTGCACCTGACCTGCCGTGAGCAATTTTATCTCTCCAAGCCTCTGCGCTCCCCTGTGGAATGAAGAGTCCTGTGGGGAAGGTTCTGGATGATTGGGTGGGAGACAAGGATGACGGCCATCCTGCCAGGCACCGGGTAGTTCTGAACATGAAACAGTGCCCCAGATCCCACAAATACCACCCGAATTTTTCATAAAGGAGAAAGCCTAGAACCTATTTCTGAGTCAAACCGAATTCCCTTTTAATTACAATTGCAACTTTGGGTTTTTTTCCGCTTGTGTTTATTATACGCAGAATGCACCGGTTTTGGGGTAGTGTCCCTCTGCCCTGACCTCTCCATTGGCCTAGGCTGTTGGTTCAGAATGGCTTCTGATCATCTGCACTTAATGCAAACCTACTTTTGATAGGCGCAGACATCTCACTGCGGTGAGTGTAGTTGTCCCGGGGCCTTTGCATATTGCAAATATTGTTATTATTGTTATAAATCATTTCCCTTTTATTCTTACATTTAGACCATACCACTGTTTTCATTTGTGTGTCTAGGCAGCTTCCAGCACCCTTGAATCTCCCTTCAGGGCATTTCCAAGTGCTGGCTATCACAAGGGAGGCAAGAAGCTCTGGATGGGACAAGCTCTGACTTCTCTCCCTGAAAAGCCCCCCAAGCTGGGGATCAGTCACCTCTGCGCAGGGCTTGCAGGCTCTGCCGGGCGTGGCGGTGCAGCTCCTCCACGCAGGGCGGCCTCGTGGCCGGGAGGAAGATGTTTCTCTGCTGGTGCCACGGCGCTCGGTAGTACACGCTCAGCTTGCTCTCGGCGTCCAGGTTGGAGACGGCTGCAAGACAGAGAGGGGACAGACCATTATAGCTCGCCGCCTTAACTTGTGTGTTCAGCAGACTCTGGGAGGGTGGGGGTCGGGGGGAGCCCGGGTAGAGAGGGTCCAGACTGCTGCCTTCTCCTTGGAATTCACTCCAGGCTGGAGAAAGGTTTGACGCTCACAATAAGGATGGGGGCAACCTTTGCCCCCAAGCTAAGATATGAGAGACCCCAGGACACCAACCATCTGCTGTGATTGGCTAATTTACTCTCCACACCTTTACTTCGCATTCTCAGAGATGCTCATCAGTCTGGACAAGCACTGGCCCACCATGCTTGGGGGCGGAGGGGGGTGGGGGGGTCCTACCTTCCAGGAAAAGAAAGGAAACCTCCACAGTAAATGGAAAAGTCTGCCCCCGCACCAGTCGTCGGGACGAAGGGACTCAGAAGTACAGTTCGATACCTTTGCTCCCAGATGCCCTCCTGAGCTTTGGCCCACCCTTTGCTCTGCTTTCTGTCTGCTGTGACCTCTGGCCTCACTATTTTACCTTATCCGGCTCTCCACCCGCCAACTGCACTGTCTGCCATCTTTCAAAGCATCGCTTAGTTTCCGAAGTGTCACCCAGCATTAAAGAAAGCATTACAGGTCAAGGGAGGGAAACCACAGCCAAGGCTGGCGAGGAGGGGGGCACGGTGCTTCGCAACTCATCCAAGGGTCTGGAAGGAGCGGCACCCCCCACCCCTGATACAGCACGTAACCCACACCGTCTCCACACACACTGAGCCTAGCATGGAGATCACCCATGAGGACAAGATACATTCTGATGGACAGAGCTGCTCCCAGCAGGAGGGAACGGCCCACCGCACAGGGGGCCTCCTGAGCACCTGTGGCCAGCCAGCCTCAAGAATGGCGACCCCCAGCCCTGCCTGCCTGTGAGGCTCAGATGAGGTGTGGGACGCCGTGGGGAGGAAAGTGCAGAGGCCATATGTGGATCGAGTGCCCTGTTCCCTCTCTCCTGTGTTATGTATGCTGAAGGCAGAGGCTTTCATGACTTTGGAGGAATTCCCTGGTTCTGTGACTAGGATTGTCTTAAAAGTCAGCATCTCCCTGGAGACAGTGGTCAAGACAAGCTCAACAGGGCAGAGGTCATTACCAAATCCAACAGAGGTGGCCACGAATTCACATGCACATGACAGCTGGAGAAGGGATGGAACAGAAAGCCTGCCTGGTGGAAGGAAGAGGCAGGAAGGTCAGAGGGCAGCCCCAGAAGTAGAGGGGCTTCTGAGCCCCTCCTTTCTCGTGCCCATCCGACAGGAAGGTGGGAACCAGGATTCGGGGCGAGGTGCAGGTGACTTGGTGGTAGACCAGGAGACTCGTGAGTTTCTGAATCCCTCAGCATTACTCACGAGAAGCCCAGGGCGTTAACTCTTGATAGCCCCTCAGAGACCAGGTCAAGAGACCTCACTCTTCAGTCTTCCGTGGGGAAGAGCTAAGCTCCCGCCGTTCACCTCAGTGTTATTCTAAAGAAAAGCCTTGTCAAAACACAGATTCCTGGGCTTCAACCAAGACTCCCTGAAGCAGGGTTTCTGACAAAGAGGCCTGGCAATCCATATATCTGAAAAGTACCCCCCAGATTATTTATTTTATGGTCAGGCAAATTTGAGAAACACAAGATGTTATCTGATGACACCCTGGAGTCACGGCGTGAAGGGAGAGGGCAATGCGGGCGAAGGGAAGAGACGGCAGAAAATAATAACTTCCCCCGGCCCCGTCCTCACTTTCCAGCAGCTCTTACGTCCCAGCACGACGCGTGGCCCTGGGATGGCGCAGAACAGAGCACGCCAGGGTCCCTGCCGCGGGGCGCATCCGTTCTCTGGTTCTAGGTGAAAATGGTTTAGACGCAATTCTAGCTGGAAGCGACAGGCTGGGAGAAGTGACCTCTTCGTGGGGCAGCTGGCAGACTCCTGCTTTAGTGTTCCACGTCCCCGCAAGAGGGCCCGAGGCCTCGACGCCAAAGGCCCTGAACCCCGGAAAGGTCGTGCCCACTCCGCCACCTCCACCTCTCTGCAGTAGGCAATCCCAAACGAAAGGCTAAGTTCACATATCATAAAAGAAAAGCAAAGACGTTCATCAAATATTAAATTAAGTCAAGTTCTCTGCAAGCCTATTTTTGTGCCCTTTCTTTGCTGCTGCTCTAAACACATTCTTACGGCACCACGGGGCCTGCCAGCGCTGCGTGTCCGGGCGGCTGAGTTCTGCCCACTGCTAGGACTGTGGGCTCGCAGGTGCGAAGACTGACACCTGAGTTCCTGCTCAGGCAGCCAAGTCGTGGTTCCTGGGAAGAGCCAGCTCTCACCAGGACAAGCTTCGGGGCCCGGTGTCCTCACCTCTTCTCGTCCAAAGCCTTTGTCTGCTGAGAAGCTACGATGGATTTCTGCCACACATTAGCAGGAGAACAGTTCACTCATTAGCTGCCGCGACAGGGTTTACCTCTTAGACAGAGAAGGAAGGAAACTCTTGAATGCCTTTGCCTTCAGTTTTGTCCTTTGGTTAAGAGCATTAACTAGTACTATGTGTCCACTGGAGGCAGACAGACGGGCACTAATGGAGCTCTGCCAGGGCGAACTATCCATTCACTTCCTTAAAAAGTCTATTCCTTTTCCTAAGCAACAGTTCACCGAAAGTTGAATCCACGCATCCATAAGCTCCTGTGCCGCGGCCACTGCCGGGCGGTCCCAGCCTCTGTTCACCCGGCCCCTTTTGCCTCTTGGCTTAACACTATTACCAAAGCTGGGCCATGCAAGATGGCAGGTTTAGTCCCCCCAGTAATGTTCTTTCTCATAAATGACACAGAAAGAAGTGAGACGTCTCTCCTCCGCTGGTGGGAGGCCCCTCGAGGTAGGCAGAGTTCCAGGAGGTCCTCCCTGTTCCTGCCCCCTGGGGCACGTGCCTGCACAGCCCCTTCCCTTAGAGTAGAGGGGAAATCTGTGAATTCGGCTCATGACATGGCAAAGGGGATTTTAAGGTCCCCACTCCGTTGACTTTGAATACATTGGGAGATGACTGATCTAGGTGGGTCTGGTCTAATCAGGTGAGCCCTTCAAAAAAGACACAAAGTAGGGGAGACACTGTTTGTGTTTTTTTTTTTTTTTTTTTTTTTTTTGGCCTTGGAGAAGCACACTGTGGCCTGGTAAGCAGCCATATGGCAGGATATGGTGGGTGGTCCTAGATGCTGAGGACCTCAGGCTTACAAGCCTCGGAGAACTGAATTCAGTCAGGCCCTTCGTAAAAGCTAAACTGTGCCCAGATTCCTGACCTGTGGAACTTGCGAGATAATCAATGGTGTTTTAAGCAGCTAAATTCGCGGTAGTTTATTACCAGGTACTAGAAAACCAATACTCCCCCACTATTTTAACTGTTTGCCTGGCCTGGGGCTTGTCCCTCCTCTCTCTAGCCCTGCTCCCCAAGGAAGGGGCAGCTGCTGGCACAGTTTACAATGGGGAATAGGGTGGTTGGTCTCCTTATGTGCCCGTATCGCTGCTCCTGTCCGAGCTTGTGGGCTCCTGCAGGAAGCTCTAACCCACGGCATGATGTGCACGGTATCCTCACGCCCCCCACCCCCGCTTCCATTCTGCAGCTAAGGAAACGGAAGCTCAGAGTAGGTAAGTAATTCCCAAGGTCACATACCTGCTAAGTGGAAGATCTGGGATTAGAAACCATCTCTGGCTTCCAAGCTGCTGTTCTTTCCCAAACTAATATTGACATAAGTTTGTCTAAACTCAGGCCGATTGGGGGGCGCGTGGAGCGGGCTGTCGGCCACATCCAGAGCATCTAGTGCTCGTCCAAACCAAAACAAAGGAGTTAGCATCGCTGCTCTCTGATTCAGCCATGGCATGGGGGAGTCTTTCAGAAAGTGCCGGGAAGACCTGCCAGGGAAGGCTTGTCCAGGAACACAGACGGCACCGCGAATAGACTCTACCACCAAAGTGCCGCAAGAAAATGCCAGCATCGGCCAGGTCCACTGGCAGCGAAGTCTTTATAGACTGAACTTAGTTCATTACCCTGTGAAACTCTCGAGATAATGGAATTGTCTAGACCTTGATTCATAGTGATGTATTGAAAGCCTGGTTATGGTCACTGGGTTTGTCTGAAATGAGCTGACGTGGAGGTAGGAAAGCTAGTGGCCCCGCTACTCTCTTGGAAAAACCAGGCCCATTTCTAGGGCTGGAGGAGGCTCCGGCTTAGGAACTGTTGGGAAGGGGAAAAACTGGGGACAGATACAATCTGGCGCCAGGCCTCATCAGCCCCAGCCTCCCCCAGCCCTGCTGGGGTTGGTACTTGCTTACTATCACCTCTCCCGGCCCCCTGAGCATCTCAGGGCCTTCAAGCTCTATGACCCCAAGCAGGAGGGCAAAGGGCTGATTCTCCGACCTCCAGTGTCCACCCCTGAGGCTGATGGTCTCCCCATACTGCTGTTTCTCCCTTGTCCCAGGCTGTCGACAACTCCAGAGCGGGACTATGACAGCTGAACAAAGTTTGAATGTGAGGGGTGGTGAAAATTTCAGAAAAAAATGTGCCAGGTGATTTAGAAATGGAATTCCTATCCCTCAGGAGAGAGAAGGGGCCTAAAAGAATGCTCTCAGGATGGACTCCCCACACAGGCCTTGCCGACTCTGTCCTTCCTGCCCTTCCACCCTCGACAGCCCATCACACAACTTTCTTCTGGGAACGCACCCCTCCACCGACCATCCAGTCTGCCGGCCTGTGACAGAAAGCAGTAAGGAGTGAGCGCAGCCAGAGAGTAACGTGCATCTGAACTGGTCAGGACTGCCGACGCCACCCGGGGCCCTGCTAGGCCGAGTCGAGCCTCAGCAGCCAAATGGAGCCCTACTCAAGCCCTCTACGGCTGCTGCCCAAATTCTCTGCTCTGTTGGGGGGCAGTGGAGGGGATTGCTCCCAGTGAAACACCTCATTCCCACCTGCCCCTGCTCCCGCGGTGACCGTTCCCTTGCACACTC